TTGTATTTTTGAGACGTTCAGTTCGACGGTAAATTTGCTAAAATCAGAGTTCATATAGTATCCAAATTAATTTTTGAAGTTTCCAACTTGATTTTGCCTCGAGGTTCGTGCCTAATCAATATAATTTTGTATGATATATCAAAAATAAACTTTCGGATATATTTCTTTTAAAAACAAATAAATTAAATATTTCTTCTATTATAAGTCATATTAAGTCAAATATTTCCTTAAACATATATAGTGAAATAAAGAATAACAAATTCTATAATAATGAGTAGAAGATAACTACACATATTCAGATGTTAGAGAGAATTTTTAGGTTAAAAAGTTACCACCAAATCAAAAGACAAATATACTAAATCCAATTGAGATAAATGGCTTATCCATATTGAGGAGAATAATGTATTAATAATAGAGACATTCTATATGTGACAGATAGAATGAGTTAACTTTGTTTAAAAAGCTTTTAAGTATTGTATTTGTTGGCCTTTCTTGTCATAAATACATAGGATGAAAATATTATAAAATGTTAAATAAGTTTAAAAATAAACTTAGCTTAAAAAATTAATCAAATATTATTTATCTATCATGATTTTAATTAATATTTTTATGGGCTACGTTAACAAAAAATGTGGCATTTGCTATTTCCCAAACAAAACAAAACAAAACAAAACAAAAAAGCCATCTTTTAAGAGCACATTGCAAAGCAATTGAGGCAATTTGCAAATTTGCTCTATTTTGATGACTATTTTATGACATAAATTTTTATATATTAAAAAAATGAAGGAACACATATATGGGAATTTAATTATTAGTGTTGTGTCTTGGAATATTCGCGTCGGTAGATAAATATAAAGTTTAACGTCTTAGCATTGTATGAAGATCCAGCGCATAATCAGATAAGAGAGAGGGTGTGGCGTTCATAAGAGACACCAGAGATTTTATGTGAAAATCCCTTAAAAGGGGAAAACCAATGGGCCTGGCCCAGTTTGAATGAATCCACTATTAGTTGCAGTCAATTACAAATGAGGCCCTTCATTAAAGGAAAGGCCTTGACTTGATATAACATATATACATCACAAAGAATGTATTACATGGTAGAAATAGGAAGAATCAGTATTGATATGATCATTTAGTCGATAGAACCATAGTCGGCAGGCGACGGAGGTTGGAAGGATCGTAGTTGATAGGAGACAAGGGTTAGAGAGATTAATGTTGTCGTCAGACGGTGGTTCGGCTAGAGTCTGGGCGTAAAGTGGCAGTCTGTTGGAACTCTGGGCCTTAGGTGGTGGTTCGGTGGAACTCCGAGCGTCAGGTGGTGGTTTAGGGGAACTTTGTGAGTTAGGTGGTGGCCCGGTAGAACACGGGGCGTCAGGTGGTGGTCCGTCGACGGAACTCCAGGTGGTGTTCCGGTGAAACTTCGGTCGTCAAGTGGTGGCCCCGGGGGAACTCCGGGGGTCAGGTGGTGGTCCAGTGGAACTCTGGCGTCATATGGTGGCCTGGTGGAACTCCGGGCGTCAGGTGTTTGTCCGGCGGAACTCCAAGCGGTGGTCGAGGAGGAGCGAGGAGGCAAGAGCAATCTCCGATCTCTCTCTTGCTCTCTTGCATGGGAGCCCCTTTTCAAGTGGAATGATGGGTCTATTTATAGATGTTCTAGAGTGGCATTACCCGTAAATAAGAGGAATATCAAGGGTAAATGGGGAGTGGTTTTGATGGACGGCCGATGTTGAATCCCTTGATCGTGGACCATTTGTTAGACATTTGAAGGTCTTAATAGTGTCAGAATTCCATGATCTTAGGCTCGTTGGATTGGTCTTGTTGAGTCGCTCGATTCAACTATAAACTGTCACGTTTGGAAACCATTTGGTAAACCACATTGTGATTCAAACCTTCCAACAACGCTTCAGGTCCTTGATTTGGACCCATTTGAGCTTGGATTAAGTGGAATTTGGTGTCGTTGGGTTTATATTTCCGAGACATTCAGTTCGACTATAAGTTTGCTAAAATCATAGTTCATATGATCCTAAATGTAATTTTGGAAGTTTTTTACTTAATTTTTCCTCGAGATTCGTGCCCGATAAGATAATTTTTTGAGGATGTATCAATTAGGTATTGTTCATTGGTTAGAAGATCAAAATTTGCTTCAAATTTACTGAAGAAATTTTTTTCTTAAGATATTTATTAGAGAATATTTTAGTTATTTGTAATTTATATACTCATAACAATCTTATTGTATATTCATTATTTAGATAGAGCATATTGATTTGAGTATAATTTGTGAGTCAATAAATATCATACTGATTAAAAATCTCTCTTATTGAAGAGTATCTGAGATGTCATTAAGATAATTGATAATTAGAAGATAAAAGATAAAGAAGATTAAGTTGAGCACCTCCATAATTTTCAAATTTATCAAAAAAACTTTCATCTTATTGTTTGTGAGTTAGACATTTTAGAGGTTCAAATATGAAGATCAATCAAGATAATGATTATAAAATCAAAGAAATTAAAATATAATGTAGGGGGTTGAACATGACATAACATCAATAAACATAAAGCTTTACAAAATATCACACTTTTTTTTTGGTGCTAAAAGAAACAAACTTGAAAAATATATGACTAAAAAGTAAAACCCCAAAAGTCAATTAAAAAAAATTTAATAAATCTCCCCTAAAATCATGAAGGGTCCTTTTTACTAGTCCACAAAGAACAAAAGAAAGATCAAAATCAATAAAGAGTCCTTTTTACTTGCCCTACAATGCAAAGAATCAAAGAAGGAAGCTGAGCAACAAGGCTCTTTTTAGTGTGTAGAGTAGTTGAGCACTAAGGACCACACCTTATGAAAAAAACTATTGCATTGTGTCACTCACCATGTCATGAAAGCATTAGTAGCAAAAGGTTGTGGTAAAATACTTTCATCCTTGATGTAGGTGAGTTGATTGTTTCTTTAATCATGCACAGAGAGAGAGAGAGAGAGAGAGAGAGTGAAAAACACAAAATGAATCCCCAAGTTGTAAGGTTACATCAACATCAATGATGATGGATGGTAGATAACTTTTTTCTTCACTTAGAGTTGCAAGAAATTCAATACTCAATTACTAGCCTAAATAATTTAGTCCAACTCAAATCTTTTCTTATTTAAATTGATAGTTTTATTGACTATCCAAGATCAAATTAGAGTCTGATCAAGATTCAATAAATTCAAATCTACACACGAATTTATTCACTTTCTTGTAAAAAAAAAAGAGGAGATCAATCAAATAAAAAAATTAATAAAATTACTTTAAAAAAAAAAAAGATAAATCTAGAGAAAAAAATTAAGAACTAGAATTTTTTTATAATATAATAATTATACTTAATAATCTAATTTTCTTAAATATTTTTAATATTTAATACATATATTTTAAAATAAATCAACTCATGAGGTAAACCAAACATTTACTTTGCTTATGACTCATTGAGTTTGAGTAGCAAAATATTTATTGAAGCCATGAGTGACTCAACACAATTTCACCTTTGTCCCATCATGCAATAGAGACTAATCTCCCAATAAAGAAGCTTGCTTGATGAATTGAGGTGACATTGATGTGATCAGCTTACCATGTTCATGTATATGATCCTTGTTCTTTCTTCCATTGCAAAATATATTTTATATTATCCTAAAAGTATCACAATAGAAGAATGCTTCATTTATTGGATTGTTGATGTCATTAAAGTTGGTTGAAAATTAAAAAAATATTTTTTTTTTTCACAATCTCTATAGTCCAATGAATGACAAATAAAAATAAATTTAAAATTTATTTATTTTGTTTTTTTTATACATTTTTGCAGTTGAACCCTTTGATTTTTAGTATTTGTGATTATGTTCTTTAATGACTTTGTTTGATAGAAGAGATGGCTAATTAAGGCTTCATTTGGGACGACTTTTTTACTGCTTTCTAAAACAGAGTTTTAATACAAAATTTTTTATTTTTGTATTAAAACTCTGTTTTAGAAAGCAATAAAAAAACCGTCCCAAATGAAGCCTAAGTGATTAGTTGAGTTTGGGCATACTTAATTGCCATTGTATGACATTGCAATTAGCAAAGATGCTTTGCTTTAATGCACTTTATGGACTGTAGCAAAAAATTGACAATTTAAAGCTGAAATATTCTCTAACAATGAAATTAAAAGGTTATTTATATTAAAGTCCCCCATCCTTTGACATTTTTGTTATAATAAATTTAAAAATTTACAAACAAGACATATAAGTAAACCTACTTTACAAAGAAAGATAAGCAATTTTGGCTTTTTGCCTTAATTTCTTAAAACTCAGTCAATATTATTAAAAATATGTTTGTAATGGCTAAAACTTTTTATAAAGAAAGTTGTAAATCTATTATAAGAAAAATAACCTTTTTGAGCACAAAACTTTCTTGAAACCAAAGAGAAAATAGTAGCCAAATAGAATTTTTATTGTGATATGAAAAATAAAACATTAAAAAAAAATATTCCAAATAGACCCTAAGACTTATAAAAATTTAAATTAATAATAGGATTTAATCATAACAATACCTCAAAAAATTTCAAAGAAAGATTTGCATACATACCACGAGATTCTTATATATTTATGCATCTAACACATAACTCTTTATATTTACTAATATAAATATATAAAAACAAAAATAATCTTAACATATTTGAAATTAAATATATCTTTTCATGTAAATATTTTGATAGTATTTATACATAAAATAATATATAAATATAAAGATTAAGACTTCATTTGAGATAATTTTTTTACTGTTTTTTAAAATAACTTTTTAGTATAAAAATTTTTAATTCAATAAATTTCTATACTACAAAGTGTTTTAAAAAATAGTAAAAAAACAACCCCAAATAAACCCCAAGTATTAAAAATATAACGCAACATAATTTTTGGTATATGTATCAAAAAAAAAAAAAAAATCTCCATATTCTGTTCCATCATCATCATGGCTGCTTTGTCTCATACAAATATAAAGCAAAATAGCAACTTTAACCTTCGTCCTTTCCACCCTCCATTGGTGATAGTAATAAAGCACATAATTGACTTATCACTGTACATTTCCTCAATTACCTGCAGCTGTTTCATGAACAATGGCTCATAAGAATAAGTAACAGTGCCAAAGTGATGGTACAAATTTCCCCAAACATCTGAAAGGGATACAGTAGCTCTCAGTCTCTCACATGATTAATTATTCTGTGCGGACGTCGAATACAGTCCAAAGTTCTATGAAAATGCGCCACGTCACCCCCTACTGAGTACCGCGGCTCGGTACAACTCGGTACCGAGCTCGATACTGAGCTTGGTATTGAATGACATGGCTGAATCTGATTCGCATCTGAATGATAAGCTGTGTCCGGTGTCCGCACAGAATAATCTCTCCTTTCACGTAACTTTCCTGATTTCTTTACCAACAGATTTGAATTTCATCAAAGGTCCCCACCACCATTTTCAATTTTTACTCCTCTCCAATTCACTCACAGAATTCTCATGGCCTGTATGCATGCTTGCCTGCTTAATGAATTGTTGGACACAGACATGTCTTCTTTGTCTTTTATTATCATCACATCCCATTATTTTCCTTGGGAAAGTGTCATTCAATCATATCTAAGCTCTCCTTCAAAAAATGTCCTTCTCTTCATCTTTATCTCGCTACTTTTCATATAGCTTTCAAGCTTCAGGCCCACAACTTTGAATGCTTTGATAGAGGCAACTATCAAGCTAGCTTTGGCTGAGGGAGCTCATCTGCATAGATAAGTAAATTTGATTAGGTTGCAGAACACTCATAAATAATTTTTTTTTTTTTGGGAAAATTTGGGCTTAGCCCGTATATTAAAGAAGAGGAAAATTACAACAGACATCAACTGACTTTTACATCAAAGGAAAAAAGGCCAAGGTATACAAAATTTGGCTATAGTAAAGGAGAACAGCTAATACTAAAGCAATGCTGTGGAAAAACAAATAGGCAAGGAACCATAACTCCAAAGAGCAGCGCCTAATACAAAAATCCAAAAAGAAAAACATGCTCCAAAGCCAACATTGCTTGGACTCAGATAATCAACAAAATGCTGCGAAAGTGACAATACCCTGGTTGCCCGAAGACCGTCCAAGGGTTCTGCTATGAGCTTCATCATTGTCACGACATGGCTGATGCAGATTCTCGAAGGGACAGAGTAGCAGACTCGCTAACCGAACCAACCTCTTATATTTTTCCCAGCAATTCTCTGGCATTCTTCCATTTTAATAACTTTTCAAACATAACTCTCTTGATTTGAAACAGCAAAGTTGTGTTGCAATTAGTGCAATTACAACCTACATCCCTAACCCCTCGGCCCTCCTAGCCTTGGCCTAAATCCCCAATCTCACCTTTCCCGCTCTCTTCTCTTCTCCACTACATATTCCTCCAAGGGATAAGCTTCACACAATCAGCCTCCTCGCCATGAATGGCAGGCCCTGAAAGAGACCACGGACTTATGTATGATCTTCAAGGACGAGTAGATATCCTCCTGTCTCCCTTCTTCAACCTCGAATTGGAGATCGACGACATCGTCGACCGAATCCTTTTCACCTTGACATCTGCCATCGAGGAACACCAAATCTCCAGAGAGTGGCGAATAATCGGACATCCACTAACTTCTTCCCCTCATGCTAGCTTTTCGTTGAGCAAGACTGTAGGTGTTCTCTTTCTTTTGGTGACATCCCTAGATTTGCTGAAATTATTCTCCCTCTGACTCTACCATCAAGAGTGAAAATGAGAGGAACTCGAGCTGAACTTTCTATTTGTTAAGCTGTGGATTTTGTTATTTTTGTATTTAGTGTTACTACTATTTTTATTCGTATTTTAAAATTGTCCTGATAATCTTTCTTGTAAACGCATGCCTAAGCACATCTGCAACTAAGAAATCCTAAACTCTTATCTTGGTGAAACATTGAGTTTGAAATTATTAAGGTTTAATAACTTGTTATTAATTCTTAAGCAATTCATGTTTCCATATATGTTTCACATCATTTGAAGATTCAACATTCTTAGTTTGAAGATTTGTTATCATGGCATCTTTTTTCTTTAGATTCTTTCCACCTCTTATCATGGCAAAAAGTAAGGCATTTTGATGGAAGAAATCAAAATCCATTAGTAGAGATATGGAAAAAAAAAATGAGAGGAATCTTTGACTCAATTCATTCATTAATAGAGCTTTGTGACAAAATATCTTCTTCAACCTCCACATCAAACTCTTTTTTATACATAGAATCATCAAACTCACAATCTTGTTCAAGTTTGTTCAACCACATCATCATGCTCAAGCTCATATATATGAAAAGGCAAAGAGATTGTTGGTGTTTGTGGAACATTACAAACTAGAAGGGTAGTCTCCCCTCTAGTGCATATAATTCTTTTTTTCATTTATGCATAACTTCTAGCAAATTGATACCAATACCAATTTCTAAATCATTAGAGTTTGAGATATTGACAAATAAAAGCTAAAAATGCATATTTTATAGAGATAGAGTAATAGATAAAAATATTCTAATTTAAATGAAATAATTCAAATAAATCCTAAATCCAATTTCTTGTAGTGCATCATATTTATTTTACAATTTAATTGCACAACTGAGTCATTAGTATTTGAGAGCAAATAAACTATCGATTTTTTTCACTTACAATTACAATAATTCTAGCGCCTTTGTTTTCCACCCACATCTCTCTCTCCTTTGGTGAATTTACAATCAAGAAATCCTAATTTCCATCAAGAATAGAAAATTCTTATGTTTTTATCCACTTATCAACCTTTTTTTTCTCTCTTTCTCTTCCTCCTATGTTTGTAACGAGGATTACAAAAGCCACAAAATGGAAGCATCATCATTATCGAAAATGATATGTCCAAAACAATCACACAAGAGAAAGATAAAACACACAACTCACTCTCGTATGTTAGTTGAGAATTTTGGCTACCAAGTAAGAGGTCTATCAAGTCTTGCATATGTGATTTGTGTATGAATTTGCCTTGATTGACTTTAATGTCAAAAAAAAAAAAAACAGAAAAAGATAAAACACAACATAAAGAACCATATGATTTATAATGTTCGTGTTCAAACAATCACACATTCATGTGAGAGGAGATGCACTAAAAAAGAAGCCAAAAATATAATGTACAAAATAAGAGCACTCACCAACCATTCCCTAATTCTCAAATACACATGCATAAAAAGAAGGTGAATTTGCAATTAAGAAGTCCCCATTACCATTAAGTTAAGAACCGAATATCTTTATGCTTTTATGCACTCATCAACCCTTTTTCTCTTGGTTTCTCATTGTTGTAATGCGGACTACGACAACCACAAAGTGAAAGCATCACCATTGTTGAAAATGATGTTTCTGAAGTAATCATAAAAGAGAGAGAAAATACAGCACAAAGAACATCAATATTTATATTGTTTGGCTTCAATCAATCATAAATTTATAGGAAATGAGAGAGGATCTAATTCACAAACAAATAAATAATAAATATAACATACAAAATAAGAGCACTCACCAATCATTTCCTAATTCCGACATCTGCTCGTCACCTTTTCTTTCTCTCCATTCCTCCTTTGTTGTAATGAGGACTACAAATGCCACAAAGTGGAAGCATCGTCATTATTGAAAATGACATGCCTGAATCATCGTCATTATTGAAAATGACATGCCTGAATCAATTATAGAAGAGAAAGAGAAAATACAGCACAAATAATATCAAGATTTATATTGTTCAGCTTCAACCAATTCTACATCTATGAGAGTGGAGAGATAATCTGATTCACTAACAAAGAAAAAAACCAGATAGTGTTCAAATACACCAACGGGCTAAAAAAAAAGAATAATCTCTAATCAAATTGCATCACGTAAGTTTTCTTTGTGAATGCACCAAAGAAATCTTTAGTCTTCCAATGAAACTATAGTCGTCAAGTTGGTATATTGAAGAGGAACTAGTAATTTTCTCTGTTATCCATAATGAGTCAACCATAATTTCTATTGGCATGTTGTAGATCATTCATCTGAATTGGACTCGATCAATTTTTCAACAAAGATAGAAATTAAGTGTACTCAAAGAATATTGGTCCTGCAAAACTCAACTTGTTTGTTGAATTGTTTTCTACATCACCTGTTAGATCTGTTTTAAAAATCCTAAGTACCATAAAAATCCTTAAACTGTACATCTCTCCTATGGACTTCATTTAGGGACTACCTAGATTAGACGGATTTATTGTGATTCTAGTGGTGGCGAACAGATTGAGCAAATATGCTCATCTCATTCCCTTACACCGTGGTGTCGGTAGTAACTGCGTTCATTAGAGAGGTGGTTCATTTGCATGGCATACTCGAGTGCACTGTGTCTGATCAGGACAATGTCTTTTTGAGCTACTTCTAAAGGAAGTTATCCAATATGTAGGGGACTATCCTGAAGAGGAGTACAACTTACCACCCCCAAATGAATGGTCAGACATAAGTGGTGAATCACAGTGCGGAGACTTATCTTTGTTGTTTTGTATCAGATACACCAAAGATGTTGGCCAAATGGTTAGCCTGGGCTAAATTTGGTATAATACTTCATATCATACAGCAGCCCAAACAACGTCATTTAAAATTCTATATAGGAGGGATCCACCTCATCTGATACATTATGGGCAGGGAAACACACCAGTGTCATCAGTGGAGCAATACTTGGGAGAAAGAGATCAGATTTTGGCAGAATTGAAGGAACATCTACATAGAGCACAATAAATCATGAAGAAGCAGGCGGATGTACATAGGATAGATGTGCAGTTTAAGGTTAGGGACATGATTTATTTGAAGATCTGACCTTACAGACATAGGACTTTGGCTCAACAAATGTATGAGAATATCTCCCCTGCTACTTTGGGCCCTACGAGGTAGTGGAGCACATTGGCTCAGTAGCATATCGCCTACGATTGCCACCAACGTAAGCCATTCATCCCATATTTCATGTATCGCAATTGAGACGAGTCATTGCAAATCACACACTATCGCCCGCACTACCGTCCACACTGTCAGAGGATATGAAGGTGATATTAGAATCATTAGAGGTGAAAGGGGTGCGCCAAGGAGATAAGGGGATCAAGGAGGTGCTGATCGAGTGAAAGGATTTACCAGAATATGAGGTGACATGAGAGCCCTACAATACTATTCAGAATCATTTTCCCTTTTTTCACCTTAAGGACAAGGTGACTTTTTGGGTGGGGAGAATTGATCGATGCAGCTGGCAGCAGCAATCCAACTGCCTAGGTGGGGCCTGGGATCTCTTTTATCACCTATAGGAGAAGAGGCTTTGGGAGGAAGCTCTTTGGGAAAGGAGGGGACTCTTTGGGACATGGTCATTTATTAGATGTAAGGGGCATTTATTAGGGGCATTTGAGTTGTTTAAGGGAGGATATTATGGTGGGTTGGGGCTTTGATGTTATGTTTTGAATTTCTGTTGCAGGTTTTGTGAGGTTTTGGGTTCTAGTAGCTGCTAGGAATTGTGGGTAAGACGATTCACTTCTCAAACAGTGAATCAACTTGTTTCTTGTCTAGTTTTGCTTGCAATTTAATAAAAACATCTCGCTTTATGTTATTTTTTTTTATCTATTTGGAGTAAGTTGTTATTTTTTTATATTGTTGTGTGATGTTTTGATCATCAAGTCATATCAACCACTTTCTGAACTCGGGGTATAACAACCTATATATCCATATAAGGGATAAATCCTAATTTCTTGTATTTTCTGTGATTAATATGATTCTATTCATGCATGTCTTCATTGTTCCACAAGATGACCTAAAATATATTTGAATTAATATCACCACCACCTCCACCATAATCTACTTCAAGAAACATTTTGGGTGATTTTTTTTTTTTTGACCGGCTAAACCAATGCAATGTAGATTTAATTATAACACATATTTATTTTTTGTTGCATTTATATTTTATTTTATTATTTGCATCTAGATAATCATGAAAGTAAGCATATGTCAGATAGAATTATGTCAGGCATGCATTAGTTTTCTCTAGGCCTATAAAAGCACCTTCATAGATTATAATGAAGGACATGCTTGATCGAATTGTATATACCTATTCTCCCTCCCTTATCCTTCTTTCCCAATAGAATCGTCTCCCCTCTCTCTAATCCTTATTCTTTCTCTCTATCTCTTTCCTTCTCTTTGTATGTCAACATTATAGCATTTCCTGTATTTCCTACGTAATATAATGAAATATGAAGACAGCATAGTCTTTCTTCTTGTCTGCTTGTTCCTCACTGCCCTCGGTTTGAACACTCCATCTTTATCAAAAAATTGAATAAATACAAATACAAAAAAAAAAAAAAACTTGCAGTTAGCCACCTGCCCTGCCATAGATTTCAGACGAATGAGAAAAACGAAGGAAAGCTTACCTAAAATTAATTTATAGCAGCATAATTGCTCTATATCTTTGATCTTTCCTTCTCTATGTGGGACAACATGGCTTGTATGTCACCATTATAGCATTTCCTGTACTTCCTACGCAATATAATGAAATATGAAGACAGCATAGTCTTTCTTCTTTTCTGCTTCTTCCAGCATAGTCTTTCTTCTTTTCTGCTTCTTCCTCACTGCCCTCGGTTAACTGCCCTGCCATAGATTTCAGACGAATGAGAAAAACGAAGGAAAGCTTACCTAAAATTAATTTATAGCAGCATAATTGCTCTATATCTTTGATCTTTCCTTCTCTATGTGGGACAACATGGCTTGTATGTCACCATTATAGCATTTCCTGTACTTCCTACGCAATATAATGAAATATGAAGACAGCATAGTCTTTCTTCTTTTCTGCTTCTTCCAGCATAGTCTTTCCTTCTTTTCTGCTTCTTCCTCACTGCCCTCGGTTAACTGCCCTGCCATAGATTTCAGACGAATGAGAAAAACGAAGGAAAGCTTAACTAAATCGAGCAAATCCGACCGCTGGTGCGATGGATTTCTCAAGAGATAATAACTCCATGGAGATGGCCATATCCGCCTCTCTGTCGATCTCTCCTTCACGTAAAAGCTCCTCCTCCATCTCCACCTTCCCAAAGAGAACTCTACCGGGTAGGGTTTTGTGGGCTCTATTTTTTCCCCAAATGTTCGAAGAATTCAGTGGGCGAAAGCCGCGGGCTGGACCGTTGACCGGCTTAGGCCGACCGGTAGATATATTTGTTTAAGGATATATACTCAGAATTGATTAAAAAATTATTTAATTTATTATAACACTAATATTATACCAAAAAAATGTATATGGTATTAATCATAAAATAAATTAATAATTTTCAAGATTCTATTATTTTTAATTATGATTTATTACCTTTTATTATTGGATTAATACTTCTAATATTGAAATTAAGCCTAGTATTAATTACATTAATAATTAAATTGAAATTGTGTTCTTCAAGTTACTTTGCAAGAATAATTTACTAGAAATTCCAAATTTTTTATTGATTTGCTACTCAAATTAGATTGGAAATATAATTTTGTATAAATTCCTTTTTAGTAAGATAAGACTTGCGTGTACTTAAAGAATAAATTATCAATGAATTGGTTCCAATTACTAGCTTAAAATTTATTGTATAAAATGTATGGTAAACTTTTAGATTGCTAGAGTTATTACTCTATTAAATTTATCATAAAATTTAAATTGTTCAAATATTCAAAAGTATGGGTGTCAAAACGGGTTGACGAATTTGATTTGGATTCGATCGAAAATTGACCTGACCTTAATCTAATCAACCTGAACCTGACCCGTTTAATAAATGGATTAAAAAGTCCAACCCGAACTCGACCAGCTAGCAACTTGAATAACCCGAATTTGACCCGTTAACTCGTTTTGATTTTTTTTTAAATAACATATGATAAAAAAAAACAAAAAGATTATGTGATGTCCAAAGACCTAAATTGGAAGAATTGATTATTTTATTTCTAAATAATCTACCAAAATCTCTAATTTCATATTAATTTAAATATCAAAAGCATCTATATATCATATCATCTGTCAATATACTCACTATTTAAAATTCATATACAATAACTAAAAGTATAGTCTATAACATATATCCATTACAACCCCTTTGATTACAAAAGAATAAAACAAAATACAAAAAAATAAATTAAACATGCAAATCTGACTCTCATCAACATCGCTCAATTGGTCATCTTCATGAACCAAAAATCAATCAAATCCACATTATGAGGACATAACCCAGCAAGCAGCTAAAACCTATCACTTCATTCAATGCAAGATCTCAAGAATTAATATGCATACTTAACTCAATCAATATAAAATTATTAATGATCGGTATAAAGTCAACAATCAATATCAATAGAAATTAAACTGATTAATAAAACAAAAGCATCTCAAAAGCCATAAGAATTTATCAATATATAAGGAGATCAACGAAATTTTATAAAGCAATGTTAGGTGTCGTACAATTACATATACGTCAATTTTTCTATTAGTTATATTGATGCTAATGTTTTCATCTTTGATTTTTTATTAATGATGTGTCATGTGTATATGTCTACGAATATATCATATCAATGTATTATATCAATATGTTTATAAGTATAAATGTCATGCTATAAAAATTTTAATGATAGTTCTATCAGTTCTATCTATCAATCAGTTCAAGTATTGTCATGTAAATACAATCATGAATGTGACAATGAATAGTAAGGCTGGACATCCAACTTTAATGTCATGTTTTCAATATCTTCAATCCCAACTATTCACCAGTTGGTCATTAGTTTTTATCTTGTCATCATCATTCATAAATCTTAAATCAGTTCACATGTGTCATTTAATAAATCTAAAAAACTCTTTGCTTATTAGCGTAATTCAGTCAATTAGTTATAAACTAATATTTAGGATTACATCACAAACATTTATTTTAAGGAAAGCTCGTTAGTCCACCATCTTTTATAAAATATTATGATTTAATTGTCAACTCGTATTATTTAATATGTTAAAAAACTTTCATTGCTTACTTGTAAATGTCAATCACATCATTTGCTCTATGAAATTGAATTTTATAAATGAAATGCAATGAAATCTATACGCTATGCATTAACTTTAAAAAATCATAGCTATTAATGTACCTAGTAAAATTCAATAATATTACAGTAAAAATACTCATAATAATTATATACAAAAAGTTACACGGTGAATGTTCAATAAATCAAAAGAAAATATAATTTTATCAATTTTGGAAAGATTAAAATCATAGAACTCAAAATCATCGAAAACTAGAGTAGGATTTGATTTAACTACCAAAATTAGAAAAAATCTCATAAAAAAACTGATGGACGAAAATGCTCTAAATCCTTTTCCTCTCCTTCTTCTCCCCTCCTATTTTCCTTTTCTTACCCTACAAGCCAAGCGAGTGAGAGAAATGGCTCCATAGAGAAATTATATAAAAAAATATTTTTAAGTGCCAAGCATTGTAAAGATTTCAAACAAGCGCCGCAGTTTTGCATATCGCTTCCAAAGATACTGTATAACAAAAAGCTCAGCGCCGTGGCAAAGCTTTCTTGAAGTTGTTGTGGTCTTAGGCTCTTAGCATCGCAGCATTCTCAAACCCAACACCGCAGTACTCTAGCCCAAAATTTCATTTAAATTTTATTTTTCATCTTTCATGCTATTACAGATTATACCTAAAAGTTTAAAAAAAAAAGAGGAAATAATATATTAAACTAGTCATTTTCGGATAAAAAAAGAGTTGGCAGGTCAATTCAAACCCATCCCATTTAAATAAACATGACCCATCTATTAAACAAGTCAATCCAAACCTAATTTTTTTCAAATTGGGTCATTTTTTTTACGTATCGACTCAAAAGAGTACCCGATCAAGATATGAAGTTCATTTAAGTATTGCTTATTCATTTTCTTATCATCAATTACAAATGATTACTGAGTTCAAATTCAAATTTCTTACATATTGTTATTAGGATTAGCAAGTATAGTGGGCCAGTAGATTAAATTAACATATTATTATAGGTGTTAGTAAACATAGGTCTACAATTAGTATTATAATACTCAATAGGTAGTCAATGCATCATATTAATCCTTACAAGGTTATATATACTGCTCTTTGGGAGTATGCATTAGGATATCAATGAAGAAATGAGCAAACTCCTTTTCTTGTGATTCATCTTCCCCCTCAATCTACTATTTTTTTGAGTCTCCAATGATTTGAAAACATCTTTTAATAGATTTGATCCTTTGAGTATTGTAATCGTTCTATCATAGTTAAGATATGTGGTTGAAGAAGTCATTTAAGGAATTGAGCTTTGAATTTGGACTTAATTGCTTGAACGTGCTTTATTAATTTTAGGTTTAGTTTGGGACGGTTTTCTTGTTGATTCTTAAAGCAGCGTTTTAGTATAAAAATTAAAATTTGTATATCGAAAAGCCGCTTGAAGAAGTAGAAAGAAAGACATCACAAACGAAGTCTTAATCTTGACTTCCTTATTTTTAACATCAAGGGAGTTTGTTTGCTTTCAGCCAGATTTTAGCAATAATGCCACAATTCTCAAGCACTTCAATTCATCATTTGTCTTCTCTAAGAACCATTAAATTTTGAGTTTGCCTTAAGTATGGAGGATAAAGGAGTTATGAGATAGCTATAAAACTTCAACCTTGCCTAAACTCAAGAAATACATTTGTGAAAAGAGAAGGGCAAGTCAAGAATGCTCGTAACTCAAAATATATATTTATGCATTTCTCAGTGACTTTATGTTATATTCAACAAAGAAATTTGATTATTTACGTTGAATCCGGGTTTGGAGGAAGGTGAGATTTGAAGAATTATAGTGAATTGTCGTTGATTGAGCTCAACGACACTAGTTAGGTGAGTAAACATGGGTGAGTATGTGAGTAAGTGTTGAGGTTAGAGGGCCTACTTGCCGAAATGGACAATGATTTCTCTTAGAGAGCTTGAATTGCCTTGAGGATAAATGGCGAGTGAGATAATTTCATTGGAATGGAGAACTCCAAGTTTGATGGTCGTGAAAAGGTAGTTTGAGGTTACGCCCTTTCTTGTAGTTGCATTGAGGATGGTCGCTCTTGGAGAAATCAATCAGCAGAGGTCACTCTAAAGATGAGCAAGTAATTGAGGTCACAATGAGGGGGTGCAAATGATTGAGGTTGATTTTAGGGTGAGTGACTGATGTTGTGGCCTAATTATGTGGTGAATAATGTGTTGCTAACTTGATGAAAGAATCCCCAAATCGCCTCATAGAGCACGAGCTCCTTAGTAGCTTTGGGCAAAGAGCGCCTATGAATCATTTAAGGCAAGCTCCTTGAGGCAAATTGGCTCCTCTCAAACCATTAGGCAAGTTCCCCATATTAGCCCCCTTCGAGGATAAGCGCCCTTACTATATCCACCAACTACCTGTTAAGCATACATACAATTTCTTTTTTCCATTGTGAGTAGAAACTTATAAATAATAAAAAAAATCACTCACCCTTTTAGGAACTTAATTCTAAATTTACTTCATTTTAAACATGGGAGCATCATTTTCATAATACATCCTTTAAGTATCTCGAAATCACAAATAGGGTCATCAAAAAAGCTCATTTTTCATGATCAATTATATCCAGCATGATAATTAGCTAAGTTCACTTTGATTTCATTTGGGATGACTTTTCAACTGCTTCTTAAAACAGCTTTATGGTACAACAAATAACATGTTTATACTAAAAAACTGCTTTAAAAAACAGTTAAAAAGTCGTCCCAAACAAAACCTTAATTTTTACAAGCGGTATCTTTAACAAGCCAAACATGAATAATATTTTGTCTAGTCTTTTTATTATTATTATTATTGATAATTTAGGAACATGAATAATATTTTGTCTAGTCTTTTTATTATTATTATTATTGATAATTTAATTATGTTCCTTATTCTTGTTAGAAAATTTGGGCGATCAAGAGATAACAATTTGTTCTTGATACTAATAATTATATGAAATACAACACAAATGATTAAATGATTAAATCAAGCAAAGCTTAATTTAGAAAATTTTAGGGTTTAGGGTTTCTACAGGTTTCAAATTTTGGTTAGGATGTTTCTCAAACTCATTAATTTTATTTTGCAATATTTAAATTGTAAAATCCAATTGACTTTTTATCGGTCATATTTATTTTAAAATAAATTCAATGACCTTCAGATTATTCTAAACTTCTATTAATAGGGCAGAGGAAGAAATATTATTTATTAGTAATTTTCATTTAAGCACATGCCAGTTTCTTGCCGGCCAAGAAACGGACTATATTATCCAAAGCTGGATTAAAGGATCTTAGCACTCCATGCTCTTTCTAAAACCGGGCCCCATACTACTATAACCCGAAAACTCGATCAGAATTCGAACCCAAAATTTCAAATTCGGATTGATCCGAACCCAAATCGAACCCAAAATTTCAAATTCGGATTGATCCGAACCCAAACAAGGTTGGGTTCAGATTAAGCTTTTCGACCCGTTCTAAAAATCAGGTCAGTTCAAGTTGATCCAAAAATCCAAAATTTATCAAGAATGACCCGCAATACCCACGCTGATCGGACCTACCCGCGCCTGATCGGAGCTGCCCAGCCTCTGCCCGCTCTGACTCTTTTATGAATTTTTATTACATCTGGTGTCCTAACATAGCTCTACATTCGGATGCCAGTAAAATAGTGCCACGTGCTCCTACTTTTTACCGCGCGGCCCAATGACCTGACCCGGACACGGACCCAGTATTGCTATGTATTGACTGATTTGTGCAGACCAGGATATTGCTAGGTATTACTCGATATTGCTTAGTATTGCAACGAAAAATACCATTCTATCAAGGCCAATACCGAGCAATACCCCGGTTTTGCTAGGTATTGCTCAGTATTGCTAAATATTGGTCTTGATTGAGCGGTATTTCTCGTTATTGTCAAGCAATACCTAGCAATACCGAGCAATACCTAGCAATACACGAACATAGCAATACCAGATTCCAGTCCGGGTCAAGTCGTCGGCCCGTGCGATAAAGAGTAGGAGCATGTGGCAACATATTATTGACGTCCGAACATAGAGCTACGTCAGGACACCGGACGTAATAAAAATTCCTCTTTTACACCTCAATTCAAATATAATTTTGATTGGGATGTTTATTACATAACTGAATTTATTTTCAGATTAATATTATACATTAATAATTAATTTGTATTACACTTATCTTTAAAATAAATTTAATAATTTTTAAATATATCCAAATTAAAATATATGTCAGATTATTTTTGTCGTTTTTACTAAGAGCTCGTCTGTATTACGCCCTGTGCTTCTTCTTCTTCAAGCCACAATCTTTCCCTTCTGCCCTTCACTCTCTCTACAGTCTACAGTCACCGGTTCTCCATCTGCTCACCATGAACGGCCTCAGCAACACCACCGCCACACCGAACCTCCATTTCATCCTCATCCCTCTCATGGCGCAAGGCCACATGATCCCTATGGTCGACATGGCCTGCCTCCTCGCTGCCGGTGGCGCCGTCGTCAGCTTCATCACCACCCCCGTCAACGCCGCCCGCATCCGCCCTTTCATTTCCCGAATCCAAGCGTCCTCTCTCGCCATCCGCTTCGTCGAGCTCCGTTTCCCATCCGCCGAAGCTGGTCTCCCCCTCGGCTGCGAAAACCTAGACCTTCTTCCCGACTCCAAATTCAACAAACCCTTCGTCGAAGCCCTTCCCCTTCTCCGCAACCAGCTCGAGCTTCAACTCGGGAAACAAATTCCGATCCCCGATTGCATTATCTCCGATACAAAGCACGCCTGGGCTGGATCCATTGCGCGGAAATTGTTGATACCTCATATTATCTTCCACGGACCCTCGTGTTTCTATCTACATTCGACTCTATCGATTAAGCGGCATAAAATCTTGGATGGTATTAGAGATGAGTATGAGAAATTTGTTTTGCCGGATCTACCGCAGAGGATCGAGATGACGAAAGCGCAGGTGGAGCGATGGGTAGATTCGCCGACATGGGAGAAGCTGAGAGACGATTGTTACGCCGCCGAGGAGGCAGCGGACGGGATCGTGATCAATACATTTGAGGAGCTCGAACCGTGGTGTGTCGAGATGTACCGGAAGGCGACAGGGAAGAAGGTTTGGCCGATCGGGCCCTTATCACTTTATAACAGGGAGATTGAAAGCACAGCAATAAGAGGCAACGAAGTACCGGCTATGGAGGCGGAGAAGTTGCAGCGATGGTTGGACGAGAGAGAAAAGGGATCAGTCGTATTCATCAGCTTCGGGAGCCTAGCGCGGAACCCGATCGCCCAGCTGACCGAGATCGGCTGCGGGCTGGAGGCGACCAGGGCAAGGTTCATATGGGTGGTGAAGGAGGCGGAAGTGAAGAGCGGTACGGAAGCTGAGAAATGGATGGAGGAGTTCGAGGATAGATCCGCGAAGGACAAGAAGGGGATGGTGATTAGGGGATGGGCGCCGCAAATGGTGGTGTTGTCGCATTCGGCGGTGGGCGGATTCATGACACATTGTGGATGGAACTCAATATTGGAGGCCATCTGCGCCGGCGTGCCGATGGCGACATGGCCGCACTTTGCGGATCAGTTCTTGAACGAGAGGTTGGTGGTGGATGTGCTTGGGATTGGAGTGGCGGTTGGAGCGGTGGTGCCGGTGAAGCCGGCAGATGAGGAGAGGAAGGAGGCGGTGGTGGGGAGGGAGAAGGTGGAGAAGGCGGTGGTGAGGTTGATGGATGAAGGGGAGGAAGGAGAGGAGAGGAGGAGGAGGGCGAGGGAGTTTGGGGAGAAGGCGAGGAACGCGATGGAGGAAGGCGGGTCTTCTTGCCAAAATTTGAAGGGAGTTATAAAATACGTGTCCGATCGTAAGAACAAAATTAATCTAATATGATGCTATGCCTCAAATCAGAACAGTTATTAGGTCCGGACACCGGATGTAGCGGAGGTCAATAATATGTCACCACGTGCTCTTACTTTTTACCGTGCGGCCCGAGGACCCGACGTGGACCAGAATCCGATATTGCTATGTTCGCTTATTGCTAGGTATTGCTCGGTATTGTTCGGTATTGCCAGGTATTGTTTGATAATAACAAGAAATACCGCTCTATCAAGACCAATACCGAGCAATACCCCAATTTTGCTAGGTATTGCTCGGTATTGCTAGGTATTGGTCTTCACATAATGGTATTTATCATTATTATCGAGCAATATCGAGCAATACCAATACCCCAATTTTGCTAGGTATTGCTCAATAAAGAGTAAGGGCACGTGACACCATTTTACCAGCGTCCGAACGTAGAGCTATGTCAGGACACCGGACCAAATAAAAATTCCTCAAATCATAGGTTATTGAATTTTATTTATCTAAAATTCCCAAAATGTGATTATAATTTAATTTGTTCGAAATCTAGAAAAAAGAAAATCTCAAAAAAATTGATCAATCAACAAAAATTAGGGGGATTGATATCCATAATATTCTAAAAAACTAAATTTATTTATCTAAAATCTAAAAATTCATATTCACCAAAATAAAACTTGGGAACTTTTTAATAATAAAAATCTATCACTCTTCCTTGTTTGATACATGTTGAGAAAATCAATAGCCGCGTCGACTCCCCATCTTAACACCACATAAAGTGGGATGGCATATTCCTCAATCCCATCCACAACAATCACGCCAAATAACATTGTTGTAATATTGTCCTGATGTAGGAGAAATTATTATGTACGTTGTCCAGACGGAGAGAACAGTCCGAAATCCGAATTTGCTAAATATTTACTGTGTATTTGCTAAGTATTTGTAAATATTCAATAAATACTCAGCAAATACTCACAACTAAATATTTACTGAGTATTTGAAGTAGACTACAAAGCATGCACCAAATGATTAACATATAAGATGATGATTTGCAAGGACCTAAATATGTAGGAACTAGGATGAAGAGGAGTTAGAGGGCAAGCAAAGGAGGGAGGGTTAAAATCAAGATTGTGAAAATCAAACCGATCAGTGAACCAGAAAAATGAGAAGTTCGCAATTCGACCCTGATCAAACCAAACGACGTAACAAATAATAATATTTTAAAATTTAATAAAATTAACATAATAATAATGTTATCATTCCAAATATTAGACAAAAAATTAGAAAACATAAAACTTAGTAAAAAAAAGTATTTTAAAATCTCACATAAGAGCAAAAAAAATCCAAATCTTATAATTATAAAAATTTACACTCATAATAATATTATAATTTTAATTTTAAATTTAATTTACATATAATCATATATATAATCTATTTTTCAACGTCAAGAGAAGGGCATTTGTAGTCATTTCAATATGAGTTAGAATATATAAAGTCAGATTTGATGCATAAATGATTTTTAGATTGGATCGAACCGGTCTTGTGGCCTGTTCAAAATTTAAGCTAATAACATATTCTCAAAAATTAAAAGTTTATGCCAACTACAACTAGATCCTTAATTACTATATTTTCAACATCATTTCATAATACAGCCCATAAAAAAATTATAAGAATTCATTATTTTTAACTACATGGCATCATATTATTTGTAAAAATTAATGATTTTCCAATGCTTATGATCATCAGTAATGTTGTTCAATCAAAACTGTATATGCATATTACTAAATTACCTCACATGGCTCCATCGCATTACTCTGCCCAAAATTCGTCCTATGTAAATTTGGCTCGGCAACAATATGATCAGCATCTGTACAATTTTAATGAAAGGAATGATTAACCAAAACTCAACAGAAATTACTTGAAAATTCTGGACATATACAACATATTTCACAAGTACAGATACCCAGATAACAATTTAATACATGACCAAATTATGATTTGAAGCGGATTAATTATGAGAAATTTTCTAATTATAGAGGGCAGATTTGGAGGAGATTAATTAGGATATGTTTTCTAATAGAAGATGGAAGATTTGGAGGCTAATTTGGGAGAGAATTGAGGGAAGGCTATTTTGACGAAGTAGCCCGAAATTTTATTCAACATAAATAAATATTACAACAGCCACACAAAGCCAAGAACACACACTTACAACAAAAGAGCCCAACGTTATGAAATGACTAGCTACGAAGAAAAAACACGCCACATAAAAGGCCAAAAAAATAGAGGGTACACCCAAAAGGACTCAGTATGGCAATCCTGCACCCACCGAGTAGGGAAGAGACGACCATCCATTGGCGGAGAAAGCCACAAAGCAACCAGCCAAAGTTCAATAAGCAACACCAAAAGGCACGGAGATAACCACACTAACCACCAAGGTTGTCAGATCAAGGCCAACCCTGGGTTAAGCAGAATTACCTCATCATAGTCCAACAACCAATAGAAAAGCCAAACCAACCACAGCAGAAATCACTAGTTTTTCTTAGATTTATTTTTAGACATTTTCCCAGCACCACTATAAATAGCATGATCAACAAATCGATCTGCCATAGAATTAAACCTATCTTGTGGATCTTGAAACTCATTTGCATTCTCATCAACATCGTCGTTTCATATTGTTTGCTATAAATAGTAGTAGGGTTTATCTAATGTTTTATAGGAATAATTTTATTTGAGAGTTGCTATAGTTTTCTTTTCGTAAGGGCTTCTAGCAACGTGTAGGCTGTTTGGGAGAGCTGCTCACATTGAAGTTATAATCCAAAACCATCCATTATTATTAATATTTCTGCAGTTTTCCCATTATTCGTTTGTTATTTTTGTCTCCAAAGCGTATCAGAGGACTCAATGAACTCATCTTCTCATACTTTAAAAACGTTAAATATGAAATTCTATGAATTTGGCTGACAACAGGTTGAAGGATTCAACATAAATGGACCGCAAATCATTGACAAGAAAACATAATTACTAATTAAAAATCCATGTAAAAATTTAACCAATTTCATTCTTTCCAAGTTTTTCCGGCATTAAACATTAGACTTGTTTATATATGAAGAACCCAATAAAATAGGTTGGCGAGATCCAATCTTGATTATTTATGAATAATTCCTTGACAAAACAGATGTTTAGTTCCAAGTGAGGGCAAATTATCAAAGTGAAGAGATTAAAGGAAAAAATATGATGAAATTTTACCTTTAGCTGGTTGATGACTTGATTTTGCCGTTCTTCTTGATGAATCTCAACTGGAAAATGGAATTTTGACATAGATCTGATGGCAGATAGCTCAGTAAATGAATTAGTCCTGCCCTCCCCAGGAATTTTATAATGCCTGAATAACATTTGATCAACAATCTTTGGCCTTCAGCTTTTATCGTACTCGAAAACGATACCTTCAGCAAGGCTTCTTGTTCGGCCATGGCCAAACAATTTATGCACTATATTCATGGAAAAGTCCATCACAGTTCCGAGGCCCTGGCAAGTGATTATATTCCCATCAATTACAATTCCAGCTCCATCAGCAACTTGGCCGGTGAGCTTGTTGATAACAGAAGGATGGGCCGTTGCTATTTTATCCTGTTGGCCACGTCAGCCTTCATGAATTTCTGCTTATAAAGTTCAAACAAGAAATAAAAATCGGGTATCACCTTGAGAAGGCCATGTTTTTGTAAGATAGCAGGAGCTGAGCAGATGCCACCATATATCCTTCCAGACTCTTTCTGTTCTTTAAGAAGCTTCTTAAGAACCTTGGATTTTCCCAACCGCTCAGCACCACCCGCCCCACCCTGTAGAGCACTTATATATGATATATCAGCCTAACTAAAGCATGTCATAGCTGGGTCAAATGAGTAACCAAGGAAAAAGGACATCCCAAATAAACATTGGCACTTTACAGCAACAACAACAAGCATTTATCCCACTATACGGGGTCGGCTACACGAATCATTTTTCTCCATTGTGTCCTGTTAAGACTCAAATTCTCATCTAAAACTAATATAAAAATGTCATTTTTACTATTTTCTAATATAATCTTTTTAAGTCTACCTCTACCTTTCTTAACATAAGTCAAATCTAATACATCTACTTTCCTAATCGGGTCATCAGAAGGCCGTCATTTTATGTGACCAAACCATCTAAGGCAACTCTCTTTAATCTTATCTTCCACTGGAGCTACTCCAACCTTTTCACATATATGCTCATTTCGTATCCTCTCTCTAAGAGTAAAGCCACTCATCCACCTGAGCATCCTCATCTCTGCAACACTTAACTTAATATTATGCTTCTCTTTTAATGGCCAACATTCTACACCATAAAACATTGCAGGTCTCACTACCATCTTATAGAATTTTCCCTTTAAGTTTGAGAGGGACAATCTATTTCAACATCACTCTGAACAATAGACCTAAGATATCTAAAACGTGTACTCTTATTAATGACTTGATCACCCAAAGTCACAATCCCCTCCAACTAGATTTAATATTACTAAAATTACACTCCATATATGCAGTTTTAGATCCACTCAAACGAAAAACTTTAGACTCTAAGGTTGACCTCGAGAATTCAACTTTATCTTCAACTCCTATAGTCTTATCAACAAGAAGAATATCATAAAAAAAAGTATAAACTAGGGTACAACCTCTTGCAAATGTCTAGTAAGAACATCCATGACTAAAGCAAAAAGATATGGGCTTAAAGCTGATCTTTGATGTAATCCAACTGAAATAGGAAAATACTTTGTCAAACAACCTTGTGCCTGAACACAAGTAATAGCTCTTGCATATATATCATTAATGACTTGAATATAAGCATTATTAACCTCTTTCTTTTCTAGAACTCTCTATAGCACTTCTCTTGGAACTTAAGCCTGTATGTTTTAGTGGTGCGATATGTTGGCCATTAAAAGAGAAGCATAATATTAAGTTAAGTGTTGCAGAGATTGAGGCTGCTCAGGTGGATGAGTGGCTTTACTCTTAGAGAGAGGATACGAAATGAGCATATATGTGAAAAGGTGAGTAGCTCCAGTGGAAGATAGATTAGAGAGAGTTGCCTAGATGGTTTGGTCACATAAAATGACGCCTTCGATGACGCACTGTTAGGAAAGTAGATGTATTAGATTTGACTATGTTAAGAAAGGATAGAGGAGACTAAAAATTATATATAGAAAATAGTAAAAATGAATTTTATATTAGTTCTTAGATGAGAATTTGAGTCTTAACAGGACACAATGGAAGAAAAACGATTCGTGTAAGCCGACCCCCTATAGTGGATAAATGCTTGTTGTTGTTTGTAAAGCCGCAATGTTATTTGATGTCCTTTTTCCTTGGTTACTCATTTGACCCAGCTATGCTATGCTTTAGTTGAGGCTGATATATCATATATTAAGTGCTCTACAGGTGGGCGGGGGTGCTGAGCGGTTGGAAAAATCCAAGGTTCTTAAGAAGCTTCTTAAAGAACAGAAAGAGTCTGGAAGGATATATGGTGGCATCTGCATCAGCTCCGCTATCTTACAAAACATGGCCTTCTCAAGGTGATACCGATTTTTATTTCTTGTTTGAACTTTATAAGCAGAAATTCATGAAGGCTGCGTGGACCGCAACAGGATAAAATAGGCAACGGCCCCATCCTTCTGTATCAAACAAACTCACGGCCAGTTGCTGATGGAGCTGGAATTTAATTGATGGGAATATAATCACTTGCCAGGGCTTCGAAACTGTGATGGACTTTTCGCATGAATATAGTGCATAAATTGTTTGGCATGGCCGAACAGAAGCCTTGCTGAAGGGTATCTTGTCGAGTCAACGATATAAAGCTGAAAGGCCAAAGATTGTGATTCAAATGCTATTCAGGGCATGTAAAAATTCCTGGGGAGGGCGGAGTAATTCATTTACTGAGCTATTTGCCACGATGCTATCGTCAAAATTCCATTTCCAGTTGAGATTCATGCAAGAAGAACGGCTGCAAAATCAAGTCATCAACCAGGCTAAAGGTAAAATTTCAGTTTCAAATTCATTATTTGTTGGGGTTGAATGCATAATTTTAATTTCTTATTAAATAGACATCATAATATTCTTAATCCTTAGGCATTAATCTTGCCCTCACTTGGAACTAAACATCTGTTTATGTCAAGGATACATTATTCATAAATAATCAATGATGGATCTCGCAACAGCATTTTATTGGGTTGCATTCATATATAAAGCAAGTTTATGTTTAAGAGATGTAAAAGCCGAAAACTTGGAAAGATTAAATTGGTAAATTTTACAGGATTTTTAATTAGTAATTAGGTTCTTGTCATGATTTTTGCGCAGTCACCATTTATGTTTGAATCCTCACTCATATTGCGTCCAATTTAATCATAGAATTTCATAATTTAACGTTTTTAAAGTATGAGAAGATGAGTCATGAGTCCTCTATACGCTTTGGAGGACAAAAAAACAAAACGATAATGAAAAATACAAGATACTATATAATGCATGATTTTCGGATATAAAAATAAAAATACATGTGATATGCAATTTGAGCGGTAGAACTCGGCTCTCCCATAGCAACTTAGACGCTGTTAGGATGCCCATTACAAAGAAATTAATAAAACTCCAAATAAATTCTCCTTATAATAAAGCATATAATAAATCCTACTACTTATAGGCAAACAATATACAACAAATATCAAACCAACGCCCACGCTAATTATCTGCCTACAATCAGCCCCGCAAATCAGCTCCCAAAATCTGACTTCTTCAATTATGAAACATCTCATAATTAATCTCCTCCAAAACTAGGCCCCATATTATCCCTCCTTCATAGGGACATACATCTCATAATTAATTTCCTGCAAATCTGCCCAAAATTAGCTTTTCTTTCGATTTATAAAATTCGAATAGGAGATCTTTCTTCTTTCTCTAATTAATTCCTCCTTGATTTCCCTTCTAAACATATATGAAAATTATTACTTTGTTGGCCCCACAAGGGGGGCCAAAATCTCCCTGGGATTTGGTTTCAGGTTTTGACCCGCTCACTGGCCTGTTGGGTTTGGCCAATTTAGCGCTCCCTTGGCGTGCAGCCGTAACATACCTTCCACCCCCCCTAAAGATGCATCCTTGTCCTCATGGTGAAGGATGCGACGCAGTCATGGCTTTGCTTCAGTTTGGCTTAATTAATTGTCATGGCTATCATCCACTTTTGAACAAGCTAGAGCTTTTTTCTTCGCAGATATAGCCCTGCATGCATAAATTTCTCCTCATGTCAACCGCACTCACACATGAATATCATTCTCCAATATCCGCACACACCACCGGCATAGAGCATCCAGTCCCCATTCAGTATGACTCCCCTGGCAACTTCCTGCATCGCTGATGATCGCATACATTCAATACACTTCTTTCTCATCAGTGTAGCGGTTGTTGGCATACTCCAATGTTTTCCCCGTGTATCAGGGTAGGACTGCCGCACCTTTCTTCACCCGTTCTTAGGCATGACATTGGATCCCCATGATTCAGTTTGACCGTTCTCTATCATCGCGATCGTCCATTTCGCCCTTGCCCGAAATGCTCCATAATGATCGGCACTCCACCACCTCCCACTAACCAAGACAATGCCCTCCTTGTTGTCGCCCGGATCTTTCCAAAATCCGATTGTCCTGATCCATCGCCTTTATTCAGTCGTGTTCGCTAGGAAACTGTTAGGTCGGCCGCAAGGGGGGCCGACTGCAACTTGTCCCTAGTGATCGGTCTTGTCTAATAGGCAGGGGCCCCGGGGGGGGGGGGGGTGACTAATTAGTGGGGCCCAACAACTCAATTAAATATTCGCTTTGAGAGGGAACCAACTCAATTAAATATTGCTTTGGAGATAAATTTTGAATTAGGGGCTGTTTAGAGATTTGTAATTGACCTCTTTTGTTTTAATTAGTTTCCGCTTGTGGGATAAAGGTTTTCTTTCTTGAATTTACATATGAAATTTAGGAATGCCTTGTGTTGATTTTGGGCTCTAGTTCTTTGGCCTTAGTGATTGTGAGAGTTAAATATTTCTGCTCGAAATTTGA